AAATGGCATCTCCTTCCAATCTAAGGCTATTTCGAGTACATTGAAAAATCTGTTTAGTGTAGCCATGTTCATTAATGATCTTAGCTGGATTTTCTGGGTAATTTGTTGCAGCTTCTACATCAGCATTGCTGGTTCACCTTGCACCCTGCTGTTCTGGACACAGCTTCTTCCCTTCAACTTCATGAACCAACCTCCGCTAGCTTGAAACTTCTCTTCTGCAGCTTCCTCGCCTCTCTCAGCCCTCATAGAACTGAAGAGAGTTAAGGGCCTTGCTCTGGATTAGGCGTTGGCTTCAGGAATGTTGTGGCTGGTTTGATCCTCTATCCAGACCACTCACACTCTCTCCATATCACCAATAAGACTGTTTTGCTTTCTTATCATTCCTGTGTTCACTGGAGCACTGTTAATTTTGCTCAAGAACTTTTCCTTTGCATTCACGCCTTGGCTACCTTGGCTAACTGTTTGGCACAAGAGGCCTAGCTTTCTGCCTATCTCTGCCTGTCCCTCACTAGGCTTAATCATTTCCAGCTTTTGATTTAAAGTAAGAGATGTGCGACCCTCCCTTTCACTTGAACACTCAGAGGCAATTTCAGGGTTATTAACTGGCCTAATTTTAATCCTGGTGTGTCTTAAGGAATAGGGAGCCCCAAGGAGAGGGAGAGAGATGGAGGAGCAAGAGCTGCACGGGTGAAGTAGTCAGAACGCACACAGCATGTAAGAAGCTCACCATCTTTTGTGAGCGTGGGTCATGGCACCCCGGCACAGTTACAGTAGTAACACCAAAGACCATAGATCACCAGAGTAAACACAATGATGATGAAAATGTTTGAAATATTGAAAGAATTACCCACATATGACATGGAGACCTAAAGTGAGCAAATGCTGTCGAAAAAAAATGGCGCTGATAAGACTTGCATGAAGTAAGTTTGCCAAGAGCATTCAATTTCTATAAAACACAGTGTCTGCAAAGTGCAGTAAAGCCAAGTGCAACAAAATGAGGCAAGTCTGTACAAAAGTTCTACAATAGAGCTGATAACAAATATATGTGATGAGTTTTGACTTACAAATGTGTGTCATCAGGGCCACTCTGACCTTTGTGATACACTCAGACCCCATGTAATCTTCACCTCTTCCGTGATGACATCTTTGATCAGGATGACATGCTCCTTCTCAGTACTGCTCTGTCCAGAATGTGGACCATGCAGTTTCTTTATGCGAATGCCAGTCTCTTCCACTAGATTCTTGATAATAGAGGATATATTTTATTCTTACTTTTATTTCTAGCTTCTAAAATACCATATGCAATATTTCTTAGCTTATGTTCATTGAATTGAACTTGAGTCATAGTTCTAGAAATGTAATGATTAAGCCTTGTATTTTTATAGGAAATTTAATTTCTATTTAAGTTTCAAGTTTGAGGTTACACATCTTTGATTTCAATGCAATGCCAAGTATGCAATATTAAAGATATATTGCATATATTATTTTTGCATTTTCCTACATAGAAAAATTAAAAACTGTGTTTGTCAGAAATGGGTATATACCTTGAAACAGGCTGCACAACTCCCTTCAGCCTCAGGCAATAGAAAATATCAGGTGATTTCTTTCTTTTTCTCTTTTTCTTTAAGCTGATCATTTCAAGAAATGGAGAAGCCCCTGCTGTCAACATAGTTTATTACATTTATTTAATGAAACTCCCCCTACTTGCAAAATATATTTGAGTCAACTTATTATTAGGATCCTATTTTAACACTAAGCATCGTGTCTGTATTGGCAATACGCGTGCTGAAGTAGATATAAGTAAAAAGAAGTGTTCGTAACGTCTTGATTCTTTGCTTTCTGCTAGTGTTTTCTTACGTGATTTCATATTTTCTTCTGTGGCTCATAGGTGTACACAGAATTTGAGGAGTTATTCTTGATATTGTGTGAAATTAATCTTTCATCCATAACCGTAGTTTTCATGTTTGACTTATACTTAATGGAGAAGTTCAGCTGTTAATCATCATTTGGTGACATGGAGTCATGATATTTTGGTACATATATACTGTTACAGGAGACAGGAAGTTTTAAAATAAATCAACAAATCAAATTAACCATCTAGTAAAATGAATATGAAAACTTTAATTAGGTCCCAGATTGACGAGCACAAAAAAGTATACACATAAAAATACACAAGATAAATATATTATTTCCCTATCTATACAGTTTTCTGCCAAGTAATATTTCTAATATATGTCCATTTTAATGGAAAAAATGTAAAAGAGAGTAATACTAATGGGGAAATCTATTTACATTCATTTAAAAAGCATTGATTTAGTAGCATTTAATGAAATATACTGGCACTTAATTACACAAAGGTAATAATTACACATGATAACAGCATTCATTGAACTTATGTGCAAGAAACTTTATTATGTTATGTTATAATACACTTCATTCAGTATTTCACCTCAGTCTCAAACAACAATGTGTAGATAGATAATATTTTTCTTCTCATTTTGTAGATGAGAAACTGAGGCAAAAAAAGTAGTTCTCAAAACTATATATATTTTAATTTTGGACACTAGAGCTTGATTCTAGTTTTTGTATCAAATGCATGTGTAACTTTGTTGCTTCAAGATAGGAAACTGACATTGTAATTGGATATATTGAGATTAATTGGCTGTACAGTGAAGGAGTCTATATTCTCTTGATTTATTCTACATGTTACAAGCTAAATTGGCTTTTTCTTTAAAACATTGTGTTTTTTTTTCCCCTTCCTCACTTTTAATTATGCACCTGGTTTCATGTTCTGTTACAGTTTCTTCAGTTTTTTCCTGCCTGTAAATAGCAGGACTTTTCATCTTATCAGATTTATACCTTATCAGGGAAAGTGG